TTCATGGAGCGTCTATCATGTTTCAAAACATGTTCTAGACTCTATTTGTGAATAAAACAGCAATGTTTCCTACCCTCGAGAAGCTTACATTCCAAGAGAGGACAGGGACAACAAATAGGTAAAATATATAGTATGTGATGTCATATGGTCATAGTACTATGAAGGAAAAAGAAGTACAATAGGGTGATGGCAAATGGAGAAGGGTTAAAATTTTTTAAAAAGACAGTCAAGGAAGGCTTCTGAGAAAGTGACATGTGAGCAAAGACTTGAACGAGTTGTGGAAGTTAGTCATTGAGATCCTGGAGAAAGAGCATTCCGAGCAAAGAAAATAGCCAGTACAAAGGTCTTGTCCATGCTGAATGTACTGGGAGAATAGCAAGGAAGTGAGAGTGGCTGGAGTAGACTGAGGGAAGGAGAGAACCATAGGAAATAAAATCAGGAGGAGAATGGAGGGGCTAGAAATGCATGTCCTTATAGGATGACATAACGACTCCACTCTTACTTTGAGTGGATGGGACACTGTTGGTGGGTTTGAACAGGGCAGTGCCATGATCTGACTACTTTTTCTAAGTATCCCTCCAACTGATATATGGAGAATACACTATAGCAAATTAGGACAGATTTTTTTTTTGTCCTAAGCAAGTGAAAGGGTGGGGGAAACTAAATAAGGTGGAGAAGGCTAGATCCAGAGTTAGTCCTGTTAAGTGTGAAGTGACAATTTAGCATCCAAGTAGAAATATCAACTTGGCAAGTGGATATATGAGTCAAGTTCAGGAGAAGGATGTGCTAAACGTAACTTCTGGAGTCATCAGCATATGGATGGTATCTAATGCTCTTATATAAGATCACTAAGGCAATGAGTGTAAGTAGATAAAAGGAGAATTCAAAGGATGGGGCACATCTTTGGGGCATTCCAAAATTAAGATATCAAGGAGAAGAGAATAGATCCAGAAAGAATATAAAAAGTAGTCATTCAGGAAGAAAAACACACAAAAGAGCATATTAGGCTGGAAGCCAAGTGAAAAATGTGTACCAGAGAGGAGGAAGTAATCATCTATGTCAAAGCTCTTGATAGGTCATGTAGTATGAGGATTGAGAACCAACCACTGGATTTGGGAACATAGAAGTCACTTGTGACCTTGATAAGAACAATCTCAGTGGAGAAAGTGGATGTGGGTGTGAAAGTCTTATTGAATGGAATAGGAAAGAATGCCTGGAGGGTAAATGGAAACAATGAGTGTAGACAACTCAACTGAGGAGCTTTGCTATAAAATGGAACAGAAAATTGTAGTTGTAATTGGAGAGGAAAGTGGGGTCAAGAGAAATTCTTTTTTAAGATGAGAGAATAGCAGCATGTTTTATACTGAGCCAATAGGGAAAAGGAGAAATTGACAATGAAGGAGAAAGAAAGGAAGGTTCCAGGAGCCCTGTGCTTGAGTAGGCATCAGGGGCTGATATCCAGCACCAAAATGGAGGAGACAGCCTTAGATGGGAGCAAGAACACATCATCCACAGCAAAAAGAGGGAGTAATCCATGAGTGCAGATGCATGAAGGTAGAATATGTGAGCATGTCAGCATGTGGTGCTTCTCTTCTGATGACTCCTATTTTCTAAACAAAATGGGAGACAAGGTCCTCCTTTGAGAGTTAGGAGGAAGGGGAGGTGTCAGAAGACCGAAGAGAGGAGAAGGTTTGCAATACTTGTTAGGAGAGAGGGAGGGTACCCGAGGTTGGAGGTAGTTGACAGCATGCCTGATCAGAGCGGTTGTGTGTTGTGCAGCCACATTTACTATGCAGAGGCAGGAACAGGGCAGTGGAGAGTTAGACTCAACTAAGGTCAGGCTTTTGTCCAGTAAGAAGGATGAAATAAGAGGAGGACAAGAGAGTTGATGATATGTATAGGAATGATTTTAGCAACTGCCACGAAGGATAAGCACTGCAAAGAGGGAGAGAGGCCCCTAAAGGGAATGAAAACCAGTAAAAGGGAGGTATAATCAAAGCCTTGTAGCTCTGGTAGAATCAAAGGATTGCTGGGATTGGGGTCCCAGAGGGAGTGAGCTCAACATATGAAAGGCGGTGGTCAGAGTGGGGAGAGTTGAAGGTGGGGTCATGAAGGAGCTGTGGTTATGACGAATAAGTAAGAGTGGCTGAGTTAAGAGTTGAGGAGAAGGTCACTAGGAAAGACACTGTCAAGGAAATGAGAGGGCAGAGTAATGGGAGGGTCATGTTCCTGGATATTGAAACCACCACGAATAACAACAGCAATGTTGGGAGAGTGGCAGTGAGACAGGGGCTGAAATCTTCAGGGAAGTTAAGAGTGATCCAGACATGAGTAAGTTACAAATAGAAGGAAAAGTGGATTCAGCCTGTTTGCTTCTCTCTCTGGGTCTCAGTTTCCTCATTTTTAAGTGGGAAATGCTGACAGTCCTTCCATCATGAGATTTTTATAAGGATTAAGTGAGATGTTGCAGGCAGAACATCTGTCACCCATTGGGACTGGCAGACTTTAACTTGCAGAAAATTAAATTATTTTTAAAAGAGTACTTGTGAACGCCTGGGTGTGTGTCTCATCTACCTCCAACTAAACTTGGGAGAGTATGACCCAGAAGGCTTACCAAGCTCAGGGTTGACCCAATAAATCACAATCATCCTAATTCCCTAGAGACATTCACCTGTGGTCCCCTCTGGTAAGCCTGGGCCTGGCCATGGCCAACCCCACCACCTGCAGCTGTCCTTATCCATGTCATCTTTGTCTTCCCGGCAGGCCCAGGTTCTCTCTGACTCTTCCAGCTATCTGCATACACCAGGTTTGTTGCCTCCCAGACTGTCTAATGCAGAAGACAAAAGCAAACTACATGCTTTGGCTGCTCTGTCTGGTGGGCCCCCCTTTTTATGGCCAAGCTAGCTGAAAGAGCCCAGGGAAGCTAAAATCTCAGGATGGTATCTTGTGTTCTGAACTGTGCTGAGCCCAGAAATGTGCAGATGCTCTAGGGCAGTATAATCTGATGTTCCTAGCATGGGGAGCTTGGGCCATGGACTGGGTCAGGCCCTTTCCACTTCTTTTCTGTATCTATCCATGCACTCAGCTCTAGGCAGGAGTTTCTACCAAGGGATGAGGTCATGTCTAACTAGCAGGGAAGTGTCTGTCTTACCAAGAATAGGCAACAATATTCACAGACTCCTTCTTCTCAAGACAGAGACAAGAAAGGTGATGGAGTGGGGGCCAGAGGCTTAGGACACCTGGGTTGCAGCAGCAGGACTGCCAGAGTTGAACAGGTCCCTTTTGCTGAGCCCAGTCCCTTGAGTTTCCCACCCCTGGTTCATTAGGGCTCTCAGAATATCTTATCTGGAATATGCTGTGAGCAAGTTTTACCTAGCATTACTGTTATGCAATCCAGACAGTGGATCCCTAGCCTCTACCCCCACACTACTCAGAGACCACATTTACCCTTTTCATTGCCAATTTTTCATTGCCTAGTATATTGTAGGCCCTCAACAATGAGGGAGAGAAGGAACAGAGGGAGGGAAGATGGGAGGGAGGGGTGTTAAGAATGGAGGAGCATAGAATACAGCTCTTCATCTCACCACCCAGTTCTGTGTCAAAACCTAGAAGACTCCAAGCATCTTCACTGAATTTTTCTCCATGACAGTCTGCCTGAGCTGAACAGTCATCTTCTTACCCAGAATTTCCCTTCCTCTCCTTAAATTATATATAAAAATGAAGGGTGGCCACTCCTGTCAGAAAACATTTTCTTGATCCTCTTCCTAGCAAACAAACACTTACCGTCCTCTTTCTCTAACACACAGTGACATTCTGACGCAGTAGTGCTGGAAGGAGACAAGAATCACTAATTCGGAAAAATGGCCAAGCTTCTACAGTTTGCCAGGCTCCCACCTATTTACTCAGGAATCCAAATTCTGGAAAAGCAAACCTGCATTCCTATTTACCAACCACTATCTACCAGTCTGAAGGCTGTTGACATTAACATTACAAGTGACATTTGGCTCTCGGTGTCCTTTCTGAATAGATTTGTTTCAACTAAGAAACTAACAAAGAAACCTCTAGAGGAAAATATTTTGGGGGAGTAGTGGTATGAGGGTGACCCGAAACATTTTTTTGTCCAACATTTTGGATCATTGTCTGGAACTGAAGCAATCTGCTTGGGGGAGAGGGAAGCTGGCATGTCACTCAGAAAGGAATTGCAGCCTCTCAAAGATAATTCTGAAAGGTATGCCTAGGGAAGAGAACAGAGGACTCCAGAGGCAACTCATTAAAAAACAAAACAAAACAAAGGTCAAGGTCTAAAAATGTTTATTCAACAGGCAAGTAATTTAAGGAGCCAAAATTTGCCATACAAAAGGATGTGTGGTGAGAAAGGATCCTATTAGATTTAAATTACATTTGATTTTTAAATTTATCATTTACAAGCAGATTTTCCAGCACCTAAAAAGAAAGCACACCTGTGTACTTTTTTTTTCCAGTCTTAGCCTATCAGCCATATCTTTCCAGTAAACTTCCTGTACAGAACAGTTACCACTCTATATGGGTGGTAAATGAGTGAAGGGTTATTTCCAGTCTCCAAGTTCATTTCTTTATCACCCCCTCTCTCAGAACTGGGCACAAAGAACTGCTGCTTTGAAAGAGCCAGGATGGGTGTAGCAGCCATCAGAATCACTTAGAGAACAAGGTGAAAGGACAAATCCTGGGCATCCTCCACAGGAATTCTGACTCAGTCAGTCTGTGAGAGGCCCTGGGAATCTGCAGCTCTAGCATGCACCCACGGTGACTCAGATGCAGGTGGCGCCCGCGGAGCCCACCCTGACCAATCCCTAGAAGAGGCCCTCTAGGCTGCTGTGCCTTCTGGACACAGTGCAGCCCTGGTTCCAATGTTCTCCGTAAGCACACACTTGGTGGACAGTTACTGATCCACGCTGCTGTGCTGGGCAAGCCAATCTGTGGGCCTCCTGTGACACACCCCTGATTTCTCTTTATTCTGTTAGAACGATTACAGGAAGTTATCTATGCAATGCAAGGATTTTGTGGTGGGCGTGCTGGACCTATGCCGAGACACGGAAGAGGTGGAAGCGATTTTAAATGGTGATGTGAACTTCCAAGTCTGGTCCGACCACCACCGTCCAAGTCTGAGCCGGATCAAACTCGCCATTAAATATGAAGTCAAGAAGGTAAGCTTCCCCACCTCTCCAGGCCTTCTTGCCTTGCAGGGCGGCTGGCCTCACTTTGGGCTCATGCATATTTTACGTTCCCACAAGGTGACCATGAAAACACCAATCACCCAACTACTCTCTAGACAAAGAATGGCCAGCCTTGCAGGACTGCTCAGAGCTCCTCAGCAAACCCCTCCCTTCACTCCCCAGCCCACCAAGAGAAAGGTAGCATGACTATAATTCCAGGAACAGGCTTTCAGCCTGGAAAACAAGAGAGGAGATTTTCAGCCTCCAAACAACTGGCAGGGACAACGTGACCTGGCATCAGCGAGGAGGCCAATTCCCCAGTTTTCATGAGAAACACATCACTCTGGTCTGTCAATAACACTGATTGAGTTCTGTGTGCCTGGGGACTTGTTGTGTAGAAAATGTTTTAGTTTGGAGGCTTTGTGGGATCCATGGGTCTGGGAACCTTAGAGGAATTTCACTCTAAAGTCTTATGCAAGTACTTAGTAGGAAGCTCAAGGAGACTTGTCACAGGAGTAAGCTCGTCCCACCTCCTCACTCAACCTCAAGGTGTCTTTAATGGCCACAGGCACCCAGTAGCCCTCAGGCCCACAGTGCCTAGTCAGATTGAAGTCCTAAGCAGCAAAAGTCAATTATGTCTCCACTCTGGATGTATTCTGGATTCTTTAGAATCTGCTCTTATATTAGATGATGTCATCCATCCTGATGAAAACTGCAGAGCTCCAAAGATCCATGTGTTTCAATATCACTGTGCTTTGCACATAAACAAAATGGGTGATCAGCCTTTAAAGCTTTTATTTTTTTCCAGCTATTTCACAGGGTCAATACTGGGGGTATTTTCAATGCCCCCAAACTGACCTCTGGACACTTCTCCTCGTACTTTTCTCAATTTGTGTGGAGGGAACCATCCTTCAACAAACCACATATATTTGTGGAATTCATCTAGTGAGAGCTTCCAAGTTTGAAAAAATCTTCCTGCCCCCTTACTTTTAATAATAATAAAAAAATCTAAGAAAAATAGCTTTATCTGAAGACTCTGGGTCCCAAAGGCAAAGTGGACAAATCATAGGAAATGGGGCCTTTGATTACCATTCAAAAGCATAGGGCTATGAAAAGAGAGGGAGCAGGCTATAGCTTCAAGTACAACCCTATTTTCTTGGCTGAGGAAAACTCTCATTTTATCAGCAACCCCAAGAGCTCAATGAGGCTTTTCATCAAAGCACAGCATTCTAACCCAGAAGCTGCTGAGATACCCATGGCCTTGGAGTTCACACAAACCCTGCTATGGAGACTGTTTAGCAGTGGTAAAGATGAGCTTGAGTTTCCAGAACCACAAGTATTTCCTTCCTTCCCAAAGCCGGAGTACCCTCCTGCCTCCCAGCACAGGGAAGGAGCACAGCGTGGAGGTGAAGATGTCTTTGAAAACCCAAAGAACAGGAGATGCTTGGCATCAGCAAATTTATATTTGCAGTTTCAGCTATTCATGAGCAATTCTAATGGCCCATAAAATGCAAGCATTCACCATTTTTCTGAAACAAATCCAAACCTCTTAGCAACACTGTCAGTGAGGGTAGATCAGTCAGCTAGTCCAGAAGTCTGGCCACCACCTCATAGCTGCGTGTTCCCTCTTGTTGTCAACCACTAAGTACAAAACAGCCCCAGTGATGAATGAGAAGAGAAAGTAGAGTACTCCATGAACATGACAGTTCGGGACACAATAAAAAGGTTTTATGAGGGAAATTATTTAGTGATATTTGCCAATTAGGAGAGTCATAAAGGTCTTAGGAAATATCCCTCATGAATGTCAAGTGTCTGCAGCAATCCGTAGGTGGGAAGATGATAAACAACCTGCATAAAAAGTCAGCCTTGCTCATTTTAAAGACCTCCAATGGGTAAATTCTCTCAGACCATGTTTATCATTATGTAACAGCAGACAGACACAGAGTTTTCCTTGACATTTATTCTATCATGAATTATAGTGAAAACACCTAATATTAAAAAGATGTATTAATAAAAAAAGATGTATTAATATTATAATGAGATTTCATTTTTAATTTATGAACTTTAGCACGCTTCCATGGGCACAATCTAACCCTGGGTCATTGAGTTATGAAATGACTAGCATCAAAGCCTATTTATAAATACATTGCCTTTACACCTGATATATACAATAGCTTTAAGGCTGGGATATAGAACCATAAAAAATTCCTAAGTCTCTGCCCACATGATATCAAATCAAACCATTAATTCAGTAATTAAAGCAAATTAGTTGTTCTTGGCAGTTTCATGGGCCGCTACTAAGTAAGACCTTAAAAAATGGTGTTTTGTTCAAATAAATTTGGAGATCTTGAATTAAGTAGAGTCAAACAGATTTCTTTGCTTAAAGACATTACAGAGCTTTAACATGCATTGCTCCTCCAATTAAAAGAAAAAGGGTACAATATGTATTATTTGACCACAGAACTCTTTCTCACAGAAGATTGATGAAACTCGTTTTCCATGTAAAAGTCTTTGGGTAACTCTAATGTAGAATCAGCCTATATGAGCTATGAAACACACAGATGTAAATGAAGTGGGTGCTGCCCTTGCTGGTAATGAGCCCTGGATCAGGTCCTCACCTGAATGTCTGCCTCTCTTCAGGCACCACACTAATGTCTGGTCGTCTGGCTGGCTCAGTCATAATGTCAGCCTCCATTAGCTCAAGACAATTAATTATCCCACCATTGCACAAGGGACCACCTGGTAAAAAGAAAAGAATCATGAAGTAGGTGTCAGGAAACCAGATCTTTAGCATGATTCTTTCACTTACTACCCATGTGGTCTTGGGCAAGTCTTTGAAGCTCTGAGTCTCATCCCCATCTGCAAAATGAGCATATAAGCTTCTGCTTCCATTTTCTGTGAACCTTCAAATGAATTCATATGAGAGGAAATGCTCTGCAAACTGTAAAGTTCTCTGGAGTTCCATAGGGAAGCATCATTGCTGTGATTCAGTGATGTCCCCCTTCCTTGTAACTGGGGGGCGGGGGGTCTTTCTATTTCCAGAGATATTCCCTAGCTTGTCCTTTGTCTTCTCCCTAGAAAATGCTAGAAACTTCCTCTTGGTAAGGACATTGTCATTATCGTCTAAAATCCTTCCAGAAAAGACAAAAGGCCTTGTGAGGATATGGTTGTTCTCCATGACTTCTGTTTTAAGAGAGTAGCTCAGCCTCCCCCAAAACCCAGGCAGATGTGTCATCTGCAATGTTAATCGTTGTGTTTAGAAGAAAGTGTTGGAAAAGTGGCTCAGAAGGTGCCCTCTGAGGTTAATCCTGGTCCAACCACTTAATGGAGTCACTTGAGCAAGTCACTTAGCCTCTGTACATCTCACTTGTCTCATCTATAAAGTTTGGATAATAATACCCACTTCATAGGATTATGGTAAGAATCGAATGGGAAAAGTGTGCCTCAAACAGCGTCGGGCCCATCAGCCTGTGGGTATAGACGAAGCAGTACACTACACACACTGTGCTGGCTTAGAGCCCGTGTTCATGTTACTTAACACACTTTTGGCACCCATCTCAGTCCATCCCAGCCCTAACAGGTTACGGTCCCTTTGGAAGCCAAGGCTGCCTTATGAAGAAGTAAGGGGACTTCTCTCCCCATGCTGAGTCACACGTAATCTCAGAAGCAACTCTACTTGGGCCTCATGGATAAAGAAACCAATCCCTCCAGCTTTGGCCTGCAGCCCGCCATATATAGGCCTTGGTCTTCTCCTTCAGGGCCAATGTGACTAGCAGACATCCTGCTGTCTTCTCCATTTCTATGTCTGGCCCCGTGGAACCATGCCTAATATCTTTCTTAAAGGCACTCTACTCCCTCTGCATATCAGCTCTAAATAAATGCTTAAGGGACTTCCAGCTCCACCAACAGGGAGTCGAAATCAGTCTCAAGATCCATTTGGGCTCAGCTGGACCCAGGCTGCACCCGTAAAGGGAGCCCAGTGTCTAGCATGTGGTCATTGCTGAGTGGCTGGTCAAAGAGATCCAGACTCAATCCTTGGCGCTCTCTTCAACTTGACTAACTGAAGACACACATCTGAACCCTTTACTTTCATCCCTCCCTCTCTCTCCTCTTGATTGCTTCTTCATCTCTAGGCTCACAGGGATGTTCTTTTCCTTTCTTTCCCCTACATCGTTCCTTGCTTCTTCCTGACTCCAGGTGTGTCTATATGGGGGTCATATAAATCTCCTAGTCACTGAAAGAACTTTGTAGACATGTGTCATTCAAGCTCAAATGCCACAGGAGAATGGGACAAAGGGACCCAGAAGGTGCTATTTTGCACAACAGAAGCCTTAATTCTACCTAGAGAGGAGGTGGAGGCTCCTTTGGACATAACTAAGCAAAGATCTATTATTAAAAAAAAAAAAAAAAAAGGAGAACACATGAATATTTTGTCCAAAATTACATTAGTCCCACTGCAGAAAGCATGTCTATTATCAGGCAATTATCACCAGTAAGGGGGTAGTTCAGTCTGACAAGTTGTTTCAGCCACTGCCTGTGAGCTCTATAGACATTGATTAGCCTGCTGGGCATCCCAAGAGGGGTATGACAGTCCTGCCCTCAAGGAGCCATCAGGTGGTAGGTAAGGTGGGGACAGGGATGCTATGACCGTAGCAGCAGCAGCCTCTGCACTTTGCTAGCTGAGCAAAGTAGAGTTCACAACAGTCACTTTCAGACTTGCAGGTGGACCCCGCTCTCTAGTGTCCTGTCCTGCAGCTTGGTTGTAGAACCTAAGCATGGCACTGGCCATCTTTCCTCCCAACTGATGAGACTCCCCACTCTCCTACAGGAGCAGCTCCACTTTGCTGCGCCTTCCAGACTCTGAAACAGTGCCCATTCCTGACTCCACCAAGCTCCTAGGTGATTCCTGGCTCAGAAAGCTAGTCTCACATGAAATAAAGCCCTGGGAGAGGACAAAGGGAGGGAGAAGGAATGAAAGGAGGGCCCTCAGT